AATTCCTGAAATCATGGTGTTATGCATGTGTCCAATGAATCTTATCAATACAGATCCCTAAGTCTGGATGACTGTTCTTCTCTGTGTTCACTCCCAACAATCTCTTCTGCCTTACCCACAGGCATGTGATGATAAAGCTACATATACTAGAAAGGTCAGAACTTTAGTTCACAACATTTAGAAACTATTTTCCTCTTTAATGAACACATGATTTTCATGAATGCCGGAGGAAAGAAGGCCCCAAGTGCTAGAGATGCTGGAGGTACTCCACCACCCAGAGTAGCAAGGGCTAGTACAAGGCAATAACCCACACCAAGGTACTCCACATTATGTTCCCTTAACAGAAGAATGGGCAGCTAGGTGTGGTGACACAAACTTAGAATTCTAACATCTGGGAGTTAAAAACTAGCCTGGGTTATATAGTGAGATACTGTCTTAAAAAGGAACAAAAGCAAGAAAATCAACCAACAAATGTGGGAGACTGCAGACTATAACCAATGAGGAGGATTAACTGATAGAAATGGCAGCTAATGCCTTATAAGCAGTACTAGAAGGAAACCTGGAATTCCTTTATCAGGGAAAAGAATCTGGCTGACCTTCTTGCCTGGGATATAAAGTGTGTGCAATTCTTTGCTGCCCAGGCTGCCTGTGAGCTCCTTAGGCAGGCTCATCCAGTCCAACTACACTTCTGTATTGTTTTGGAGGCTATCGGTCCAGCCCAGCCTCGAACTCACAGAGATCCGCCTGCCTCTGCCTCCCGATTGCTGGGATTAAAGGCGTGTGCCACCACCGCCCGGCTCATGTCCCAAATCTTATCCAACCTTTCTGACCCTCCCTGAAGAGCAAACAGGAAAGGCAGAGTTAGTTAGGACTTCTTCTAGAACTTGCTTTTGGCAGAGAAGCCAATATACTGCTTGGGTCAGTGTCTTTCCAGAGTCATCTTATATGAATAGAATGGTAGTATGCAGATAGATGGTGGAGGAATGTAGCTGCTGGCCTTGAGATATGATATGGTGCATAGAGATTTGAGACTGGCATACCAGACTGCAAGTTTCAGGGAGAAAGTTTGCCCAAGAATGTCAAGGAAAAAAAATGTGGGGCCATAATTATAGAGAAGACACAAGAGGCTGACTTGTTCACTGTGAAAGAAAAACAATCTGCTTCTTTTCAAAATGAGAATAATCCTCACAGCCTGTGTGAAGGCTAAGAAATGCTGGTGCCTCCTGAATCCCTCAGGGTTGCCACAGTGAAGATTCAATATCCTGCACATTAAGAATGTGGAGCAAGAGTGAATGACCTGAGGAGAGGTTGAGCTAGGTAAGTGATATGCTTGGAACAAAAAGGCGGGATGACTTTTATCTATTAGTTTCTACTGACTTGAGAGCTAATATCATTGAACTTCTGAGTTTGTTAAAGAATGAGGAGGTCTGAACTCACATTTGGGCTTTTGTCCTTGGAAAAAGCATTCAGCTTTCCTGGAACCTTGGTTTTTGTTTGGAGAGTTCTTTAAAAATTACAAAATATTACTGGGATTTTGGTGGCCTCATAATATCTAGGTGACTAATATGACAGAAGACACTGCCCTTGAGAAGGGTGACTAGCAAGTAGAGAGAGTAACAGGTTAGTTATATCATATGAGTGGGGGAGGGATTTCAGCTGGGGTGCTGTAGCATGAATTCTAATAGGTCTTAATAATAAAAACCTGGAGTCAGATATCGGGGTAAATGCTGAAAGGTCAGAGAAGTAAAGGAGCCAGTCACAAGAGAGACCTCTTAACGTCTACTGAATCCTCAGACCAAAGGGGCAATCCTGTCCCTACAAATCATCAGACTGAATGCAATGAGCTCCTGTCTCCTCTCATCTTATATTCCTGTCTCTACCCAGCCATATCACTTCTCTCTCCACCTCCCTAGTGCTGGGATTAAAGGCTTGTGATTCCCAAGTACTGGGATTAAAGGTGTGAGCCACTACTGCCGGGCTCTGTTTCTCTTTTAGGCTGGATCAATCTCCTGTAGCCCAAGGTGGTCCTGAAATCACAGAAATCTGTCTGCCTCTGTCTCCCGAGTGCTGGGATTAAAAGTGTGTGTCATCACTGCCTGGAGTCTTTGGCTAACTATCATGGCTAGCTAGCTTCACACTCTGATCTTCAGGCAAGCTTTATTTGTTAGATCACAAACAAAACATTCCTGCAGGGTGCTGCCTTTAAATTTAGTGTATCTGGCAACTGGGCTGGTGTCCGAGACTTCTGGTTCAAAGAACTGGGAGGAGTTATGACTGAATTGGTATACAAACTGTGGGTGCCTGGGGCCTAGCAGTTCCGGTAGAAGGGCTTGATAGGAAAAAGACCATGGTTCATGGTTGTGATATGTCAAGATCCTAATGAGATCTCCTCCATCCGTTCACAGTTCAGGCTTTCTAAAAGGAAGTTCTAGGTATCTTTGGTTCTGAGTTGAAAACATCACAATTTTGGTAGCACAGATCCTTTGCCTGAGGTGATCTTGGGACAAACTGCACATTTTCATTTAGTTAACAAAACCTGGGCATCAGTTCTATGTGAGCCTGTTCTTTACACAGTAGATAGTTCCCATTCACTACTATCATTTCAGGGGCTTTTCATATATTACCTTTTTTGATGCTTGCTACTACTCCATTATCCTCACCTGTATTTTCCACCAGGCATTAAGGAGTTAAGTCAAATACCTGGAAGCTCAAGTCTGGATTTAACGCAGATAGGTTCTTGTGGAAACAGTAACTATGGCACAGGTCAGATCCTGTCCTCATAGGGTGAGACAAAATAGATGAGAATTTCATGTTTTATTGTCAAGGTGCTACTTTGAAGTCTCTGGGGGGAGTTCAACAGGACAGTGCCTCAATCTGATCCTTTCTTTGGAAAAAAATCCACTCTAGTGTGTGAATAGAACTCAGGGACACACTGAGGAAACTGAGATGGCAATAACAATGGCTAATGCACAGATGGTGTGTGTGTCAATCTAGTTTCCTCTCTTACTTCAGGTCTTTGCTCTAAGGCCAGCTTACATCAGCTTGTAGCAAGTTGGCTGAGAAAGTGCTCTACTATGGTGAATGTGGCACAGGAAGGTTTGGCCTGAAAGGGAAGTAAACAGGAATTAACAGGTATGACTGGTGAACTTTTCCAGTGCAGTGAGTATGCTGCCTTGGTCAGGCCTCTCTAAGGTGGGGAACATGTGGCTCTACTAGGTTACTGTGGAAACCTTGGAAGGAGACAGTGTGCATTTGTTATGAGGAAAGTGCAGTCACCAGGCTGTCCTGAGGTGTCCACCATCATCTTGTTCACAGTCCATTTCTCTTGCTGTCCCAGCCTGTTTTCAGTGTATATTCACTGAGAACGTTGGCTGAAGGACATAATTGGTCTGGTCTTTTTATTTTTTGGTTTGCTTTCTCTTTTCAATTTTGGGGATAGAATTAAGGAGCTTTGTACACAGTTGGCAAGTATTCTACTGTTAAGCCATGAGCCCGACCCTGGCTTAACTTTAGAGAGTAGTTTTAGCATTTCAAACCAAGAGCTACTACAGACAATTAAAGATTGGGCATGGCAAATGGCGGGAGAGCTTATTTATAGGTCCCCTTTCCAACACAGTTTGTGTTCTGATCATGCTTGGCAATTTCTACACAGAGAAAGTGCCAAAGAACTGAATCATTGTGCATTTATATAACATACAGACTCAAGCTCCTTATCTTCCTAAGCTCTACTGCTAGAGGATCCCATGAAATAATCCAATCGCCAGAGACTGGAAAATGCCACCAGCCTGGAGTTTTCCAAGTGACACATGTATCTGTATCTCTCAAGTATATGTAAATGTGCAGACCAGCCTTTTCCTGGTAATCTTATTACCTTTTCAGGCTTTTAGCTGACAATCATTTCTTAGGCATGTCCAAATGTGGCTCAATTATTCTCTGACTAGACAAATGCAGGACTCAGGGGATTATCAGAGTCTGATGATACTCTTGAAGAGAGTGCTCCATTATGTAGGCAACAGAAGCGGATTTAATCTCGACATAAAATGCAAATTTTGGTTTTTAATATCACTTTTGTTTAATTTCTACTTTGAGACAATTGTGAAAAGAGTCAGGGAAAGACTTGAATGAGAGGCAATGGTAGTCAAGCAGGCAACTCCTAAGTAGGGGGCCCACAAATCACGTTACAGAATACAACAGAACTTTGGAAATGTATCCCTTTTACAATTCATAAGCAAGTTTGCCATAAGAGAAAAAAATTTTTTAAACAAAAATGGAGCTGTGCCAATTTGAAGAAAAATGAAATGTGTAGGGTAGGGCAGAAAGCCAATCAACAGAAGACTACATCAGTCTTTGATACTTTAATTACTTCAGAAGATGGACAGTTCACACTAGCACACTAATCAGGAGACTGTGATGCCATGTGTGCAAGACTCACCTTACAAAGCTCTGAAAAACAAGACTAAGTCAGGGTGACTCCTGACACTGATGCAGAATGAAAACAGAAACACCTGTAAGGAGTCACTGTAGGCCAGCATGTGAGCAGATGTGCTCTGTACCCTGTACCTGCAAACACATCTTCTACATGGTAATATAACTCACGCTTATAACCCATTCTATTCACCTTAAATTCTGATGAAAAATACGAGAAAAAGGAGGGTATATTTATGCTTTGATATGTGCCACATAATCATGTACAGTACATCCTAAAAACACTTGGATTAAAAAGTAGCCCCTCTGCCCAAGTTTCTCACACTCGAGGCATCAACTGTAGTTTCCCATAAGCACCAGGCCCTGGAAGTTCTGGAAAGCTGGTATTCTACTGTAAGATGTCCTTGAATATTGTGAAAGGATAGTTCATCTTTACGCGTCTGCATTAGAAAAGAGGACAGTGCCTCACCATCCTGTGGTGTAAATCACAAACACCAAAGTGATGTCCAATCAAGGAGGCAACGTCAAAGCTGAAGACACATAATGAAAAGTAGTCTGTCACTGAACCATCTTACCTGTCTACGGATTATTTCAAGGTCTCTTTTGGCTTTATTTACCAGGGCTTGAATTTCTGCAGGATCCTTTACACTCTTATTTTCTCGGAAGGCATCTCTTATCCTTCTGACAGCATACATTCTAATGAAGTCAGAGAAAAAAAGAAAAGATGTCAGCAGGTATGAGGTTCTGCATTTTTTTTCTCTAGAATTAACTGTTAAATATTCTTCTACAGATAACCCAGTTTGATTTTTGCTTGTCTTCTCTAGGATGGCTAAACAAGCAGACTTAGGAAAATAATTCTACCCCGAATAGGTCACATACAAACGGCAAACTGCTGCTAAAATGCTCCTTACATTGCTGGCTCTTTGGAATTATGCATGTCTGGCTTCCCTCTATTAGCATGGATAATTGAACGTTTACTGTGCAGAGACAAGTCAAGAATTCCAAGGACAAATGATGCATTTCATATGCATCTACAAGGACAGTGTTCAGTCTTCTAATTCCTGCCCATTAGATGACAGCTGGGTAAGCAGGCCCACAGTCATCTCTGGTGTGCTTTTATGACATAGTGTCTCTGTTACTCATTACACCAACTTTCTCCTCCAAAGCACCTTCTTTTTTATGTTGATGGAAATAGAAAAGGCATAAAATATTTTAATTCTACAATTTTTTTGAGACAGGGTTTTGCCATGTAGGCCAGGATGGTCTAGTACTTGCAATCTTCCTTCCTTGGCCTCAGTAGTGTTGAGATTTGCTTAATTCTAATATATTTTTTTTCTTTTTGGGAGTGGTGGTGAGGAGGGGTTCTCTATGTAGTCCAGGCTGTTTTGTAACTTGCTCTGTAGTCTAGGCTGGCCTCAAACTCAGAGGTCCACCTGCCTGTGTCTCCTGAGAGCTGGGACTAAGAGCATACAACACCCCCTTATTGTCTTACTTCTAATATTTTAATCCACATGTAAAACAAGACCTGATTTCCAGGTGTCATGTTTTTCTTGTGGCTGGTGCCCTAAACCAGGCGAAGCATGTGCTTGACTACTGAGTTCTGCTCAAATCTCTCATCCATTGCTTTAATTCTTCACTCAGGATTCATCACAAGCTTTGTAAGAACACCACAGCCTACAGTTGCCATCAATACCCTGATTATTATTATTATTATTATTTTTAAGAACAGGTAACTGGTTCAGAATACCTAAAAGAAAAACAGCACTGTAAAGAATGGAAATAAATGTAGAAGTTTTTTTCCCCCCAAACTTTAAGAAAATAAGAGTTTCTCAAGGTACTATACAATTTATACCAACCAATTACAGTCAAGGCTGAACTCGGAATATTTGGCTCTATACTTTTTTCTTTTAATCTCTTCAGCTTTCCAAAGACCTTACCTATATATATATATATTATCCTTCTGTGGTCTTTGATGGAGTTGAAGAGAGATAGTTATAATTATAGTTTTCCTTAGTTATGATAAAAGATAAGCTACATATAGAACTTTGGACTCACAAGGATGGGATGGATCACATTTTCTTTAAATCTTGCTAAAATATTGTAACTATGTTCTTATTTGATAACTGTTCTGTTATATACAATTTGACTGTGTTAAAGTTAAGACCTTTCTTTTTGTTTAAACAGAAAGGAGGAGATGTTGGGGAAGTCCTATGTCAATAAAGCACTGCTGGCCAATAGGAATCTAGATAGGTGGGACTAGGAATCCAGGAGGACTCTGGGAAGGAGAAACACAGAGAGTTGAGATGTAGCGCCATGGGGTAGGAAGCCCGGAAACCTCTCCGGTAAGAGAAATACTTAGATTAACAAGTATGGGGTAATTAGTTAAGTCAGAGCTAGCCGGTAAGAAACAAGCAAGGCCAACAGCTTCATAGTTAATATAGCCTCCTGTGTGTTTATTTGGGACTGATGCGGCTCTAGAACCAGGCTGACGGGAAGGCTTCTCTCAAGGAAAAGGCTTTCCCTTTATAGAAGGTGAACAAACCAAATTGCTTAGGAAATTAAAATTATAATGGAAAAGAATGTCCTAGAGTTGAGTATTAAAACATAACAGAACTCACCAAGATTTAACAACTAGAGAACAATGCTAAGATATTTACTTCAATTCCCAAGTCCAAGGTCGGAGAAGACAATACTTTTTTTTTTAAGGGGGAATACAGATAAATTTATTAGTTAAATACTGATTTTACAGGCATTTCACTTTAAAGGAGAAAGAACTCAGAGTAGACGATAGTCACCAGGACACAGAGATGTGCTCAGATGCACATTTTTAATACAGAAGAGAAGGGCTGCTCCTCACATCTGACAGTCCAAAATGATAAAGCATTAATATCCAGGATACATTTCTATGAGTTGTATATCACCTGGTACGCCTTTTCTCATTCAAGAGCCAAACACTGTGACCTGGTGTGTGGTAGTGCTGGGCTCTGAACTCAGGTGATTATCTTACAATCCTAAGTTATTCCACCTGAGGTTAACAAGCTACCCAGTATTTGATAAGTGCCTGGCTAAACCAAGTCAAGCTGTTACTCATTTGAAAGGCTTTATAACAACATCTCTGCCATGGAAAAGCTTAAAAAGGTCATTCTCACTCTCAACACTGTCAAGTGCTCCTACAAACAGTTCAAGTGTCGTGCCTGTCCTACAAAGACAAGTAGTTGAGAGCCTTAGAGGGAAAGAGCTGTTGACATAAGCACCATGAGTAAGTGAAATAATTGAATTTAATTGTTTCAAAAGGAAGTAATGACAACTGAAAAGTTGTAGGGTGAAGTGACTAAGTTACCAAGAGAAAACACACTTTGGGGGCCAATGAAAACTTTGAGTTCTGTGGTGGCTATGAATAAAATCTATTATACTTCTCCATTCAGAATTCTCTCATTGTTTTCAACTATATGGCGATCAAGGTCAAATGTTTTATCAAAGACTCCGGCCCATCTTCCCACTCCTTCTAGCACCTTCTATATGGACCAATCACCACACATGTGTGAAGGTATGCCTTTTCCCTCAGTTCACTGCTTGAGGCTAGTAGCTAGCTCTGTGTACAAGAAGTGTTCTTTTGCTGTAGTTTTTTAGGCAAACTCCACTCATTTCTAAAGACCCAAGTCAGTTACAAATATGACAGAGGGTTAATATCCTGCTTTAATAAACACCACATAAAAAGTCAAAGACATGGTAAATCAATGTGAGAAAGAAGCATGGAACAATACTTTACAAGAGGGTACACAGAGACTGAATCTAGAAAGACAAAGTAGTACTAATGATTAGGTCCAGGCATCATCCAAGAAATACACATTCAAACAAAGCACCACTTTTTGGTCTGAGTTAACAACATATTTAGAAAAAGTCAAGGAACAAGTCACCCTGCTGGTGGGAATGTGAGCTGGTACTGCAGCACAATAAAGGGTAATAACTAACTCCTCAAGTTTAACCTGCAAAATTCACCTTTGCTGACCTATTCCATGGAAGTAACTTATATGCATAATGTTCATTATAGATATAGTTGCATTACAAATAAAAAATATGTGTTCAAAACTGGAGAAGTGGCTACATAAACTAAGACACTATGTTTTTGAGAGGAATATTTTCGGGCGTTGGTGGTGCACACCTTTAACCCCAGCACTCAGGAGGCAGAAGCAGGCGGATCTCTGTGAGTTTGTGGACAGCCTGTTCTATAGAGTGCGTTCCAGGACAGCATCCAAAACAATACAGAGAAACCCTATCTTGAAAATCCACAAAAAAAAGAAATATTTTCAAAAGAAGTCACAGGTCTAAAAGTATGAAGTGAACTCTCTTTATCGAATGGGAAAAGAGCCTCTCTCTCTCTTCAGTATTCACTATGTTTAAAGGGGCCTGGCTATAGCCAGTTACCACAGTGTGCTCCCAGATCTGCTCACTTCTTGGAAAGTATCTTAGGAAGGGGATGATTTGATTTTCAAAGGTTGTTAACACTTTTTGGACACTGAAGAACAAGCTCTGTTTAGGGATGAGACATAGAAGAAGCAATGGAGTGCTATTATAAGGAAGGCAGCCATAGTGAATTGTGAAGTGCTAAGAAGGGCAGTATTGACCGAAGTTTCTGTTCCACCTGGTTCCACAGCCTTTCAGTCACAAATAAACACATAGAGGCTTCTATTAATTATAAACTGTTTGGTCAATGGCTCAGACGTCTTATTCACCAGCTCTCTCTTAATTCTTGTTTAAGAAAAAGTAAATTAAGCTAAACCAAGAACAAAATTAACTTCAGTATTATATGAGAAAAGATAAAAGTTTCAAATTTTTCTTGTTCACTTTTTTTACTCTTTCAGGGTTAGGGAATTGAACTCATGGATTCACATATGCTATAAAAATTACATCACTATATCAAAAGCCTTGGAACTTCTTACTGAGAGTTTGGAACAACTCTAAATCAGGTTCAAGAAAGTTTACTCCAACATAGCAAAGGAAACTCTAATGCTATTCAAGATGCACTTTGCAGGGTAAGTCTATATTGATTCATAGAATTATTTTCTGATTAGAGGATTTGTGTCTAATGAGACATCAGTGATTAACCAAACTCCTACACATGAGATACATAGGTTAAGACAACAAGCATATTTTTAAGTATTTAAAAGTTCAAGGTTTTTGTAAATAATCTATATTTTATTTATCCAAGTTAACTTGTTTTTCCCCCTTATAAACAAATTATTTAAGTAATTTAATTCAGTGAGAGCAGTGAAGTGAATCCAGATCTTTGAAGAACAATAAAAGTTAATTTTATGATCCTATTTATTTGCTATAGCTTTTGTGAGATAGGAAAAATCAAATTTTGGCCTAGGGTTAATCCTTAATATTCCCAGTAGCAGAAAACTAATCCATTAGAATCCCAAATTTTATAGGCAAATTCAACATATTTCACATAGACAGACATAAGTTATCCATAGTCCCACGCTATTTACTGGAGTTGCCTTGTCTTCAGCATGTATTCATTTAAATATAGCCTACTCAAGCTTTCTTGACAAATTTTAACTCTTTTGGGAAGAATTGTGCTTCTGGTAACCTTTGTATTTCTTTTACAGAGAGACTGGAGATAGAACAAGACATCCTAGTTGTAGCATGGAGGATGCCCGACACAACCAAGAGCTGGTGCTGAGTGGTATACA